ATGGAAGAAAACATGGGAGGATTGATTATTTCTTTGACATATCTTCTTGTAGAGTAACTTAAGCATGTATAGGTTTTAAACTACTAACTAACTTGTGTACACATATTGACATAATAGGAATACGGTGACATAAACTAAGCAAATCTATAATTACCAGCCATCTCCAGTGAGTAGTTGCTTTTTGAGCCTTTTGATGATGAAAAACCCTTTCTGATGATGCCAGCATCTGCTTTATCTTGGCATTGGTGGCAGTGTCTTTCTCATTCAAGCTGTGATTGTCCTCATTTTCAGAATGAGTGTTTTTGTGTATATCCTAGACTCTTAGGAAGAGCACATGAGGCCATGCAGGATTCTGCTGCAGCCGTGGCCCCTTCTGGGTTTAGTGTGATGGTGTGGCTCATGTTGGCAGGCTGTGGTTCCAGCGACAGCGTAGTTTCTGGGGTCCTTGCAGTGGTGTGTGGGTGGACTCCTCCACCTCTGCCACTGGGGTTCCTGCTGAACCCCTGCAGGTGCTGCTGGATGGGGGTGGGGGAGGTGGTGGAGGGTCAGGGAAACCTGCTGAGTAGGTGGGGTTGCCTGCTGCCATCTGGTGGGGGTGGGTGCTTGCTGATGTCCCTGGTACAGGTGACACCCTGGTGTTGGGTGGGGCACGGGATGTCCTGCCTAGTCCCCGTGGACACCCAGCTGTGGACTGAGCTGGCTCACTTGCTCTCAGTGGGTGACTAGGCCTGCTGCCTGTTTCCAACCCCTTGGCTAAGACAGAGCAGCCTTTTCTTGGGTTTTTTGTTTGTTTGCTCCTGTTGGCAGTTCTGGGTTGCAAGCCTCTCCACCTGGTCTGGGACAGATGGAGATAAAAAGAAACCAGCCAGTCTGCCTTCCTCTTCCCACCGTCAGAGATCTGTAGATGTGCTTGATCTCTGAGAAAAAAATGCAGATTGAATGAGGTACCATTCCTTCCCAACAGTATTTCCCCAAAATAAAATGTTTGGCAATACCCAGTGTTGGTGAATATTCCAAGAAAAAAGAATGCTTAGATACTGTTAGTGGGCATGTAACTTGGTGTAAGTTTGTAGAACCTTTCTGGAGGGCAGTTTAGAAATAGGTATTACAATTTTAAATGTCACACGTGTTCTCTAAGCTGAAGTTAATGTATTGGCTTATTTATAGGTGTGTTCAAAGATAGATGAGCAAACAGTTTTAATGTAGCCTTTTCTTTTGCAATGGAAAAATACTAGAAATAGCTTCAAATCCAGTGGAGGATTGTAATAAGCAGTTGATGGCCCAACCACACAGCATGATGGCATGCCCTCAGTTAAGACTAAGGAAATGAGGTGTAGTACCGAAGTGGCGACCATCATATATTGACTTTTTGTGAACTGTAGAGTTACGTACCGTGTAATGACATACAAACGTGCATGAAGGCGTGTGTGTGTAGGCTTGCCATGGTGAGGAAGGTCTTTGAAGCCGCTTAGGGTCTCCCCTGGGCCGGAACAGAGTGGTGGTCAGGGCCCTGGAGACTCAGGAGGCTTCCTGTGTCCGTGTCCATCACTGCCTGACCTCGGCAGGGGCGATGCTACAGTCCTGCCTGTGGTGATGCACACTGTGCCTGACGGCATTTTCCTCCCCCTCCCCCCTTCTAGGACATGACCGACAATAGCAGCAATCAGCTGGTAGTAAGAGCAAAGTTTAACTTCCAGCAGACCAATGAAGACGAGCTTTCCTTCACGAAAGGAGACGTCATCCACGTCACTCGAGTGGAGGACGGGGGCTGGTGGGAAGGCTCGCTCGGCAGCAGGACTGGCTGGTTCCCCAGCAACTATGTGCGCGAGGTCAAGCCCAGTGGTAAGTGGTGGGGGGACCGGAGCTCTTTCTGCCAGAGGAGCGCCGGGGTGCCGGCTCAGGGCTTTCCTCCAGCGGGCCTTGTGTGGATGGCCCTGGGCTGAGGATTCAGATTCTTCCCTCTTTGTTCGGCTGAAGGGACTTTCTTTACCCCACATTGGGATAAAGGTCTGGGATAAAGGCTCCACAGTCAGAAACTAGCATTTCATTTGGTTGTGACTTTGGCAGAGAGACTTACTGTTATTTTCCATATGTAAGGAGAATATCAAATCTGTTCTATTTTTGTGGATATACTTTATAGCAAAATAAAACTTATCCTTTTGTTAGGGCCAGCATCAGGATTTGGAGTTTGTAATATTAGGCAGGATGTATTTAGTTTTTATTACCAGTGGGTTCTTTTGCCAATCATGTGGAGTAATTTGTGTCATTTTTTTTTGTACTAACAGTATTTAAAAATACATCATCTTCCCCATGTTGTGTGAAATTGTTTAACATTATTTTACTGACCTTTGAGTAATTACTCAGAGGCTTATCTCAAAATGAGAGGGGATAGTGGTATTTGACATTTCTTGTTTTCCATTTAGGTGCGCTTCACGTTGTAGAATTGACAGTTCTGAGGCCCTGGGGTTCTGTGATTTACGTCATGGGACTGTGGGGTGAAGTTCTTTAATGCTGGAGGTCTGAGTGCCCAGGGCGTGATGTGGGGGGTAGGGAGTGCACGTGTGCTGCCCTGCTTGTCATGGCATGGGGACGTTGGCAGTCTTCCATTCGTGCCTGAAGCAGCATTAATTCATCAGCAGGGCGCTGTGCACTGTCTGTGTCGCCGGATGGGTCTGGCCTGCACAGATTCCTCTGTGTATAAAGCTTTAAATTTATGTGGAGCTTGGTTCTAGATACTCTGAGGTGATTTAAAAGTAGAATAAGATTTCAAAACCCACCTCTTAAAGTGGAGGAGTGAATGGCTGTAGAGGGGTGGGTGAGATTTGCGAAGAATATCGTGTAGCTTGGCTTGTGCATCGTCCCCTTCCTGGAAAGCTACCTCCTGTGGCTTCTCTAGTTCTGCTTGGGGAAGAGCAGGTTTGTTACGGTTAGTGGAAAGTGCATGCTGCCAGACCGCAGCTCTGCTGGGTGTGGCCGTGTGAGCACCCGGGGATGCTCACGGATGCCCACGGCATCGCAGGTGTGGGGTGAGGACCGGCCCCCCTTGGAGGGAGTCAGTGGTTCAGGCTGGTGCAGTCTGTGCTACAGAGTCTGGCACAGAGCAAGAGCTCAGCAAATGACAGGTGCTGCTATTTTATTTTTTAAGGTAGCAAGAAAAAAGATTTTTAAATGTGAATGTAACTGTTTTGATATAACAAGTGTTTTCTCAGTAGTGCCCTCAAATAGTAGGTATTTAAGAAATAGCATCCCTATTATTTTTTAAATTATGGTAAGAATCATGTAATGTAAAATTTACCATTTTAACCATTTAAAAAAATAATTTTTATGTGTGCAATTCAGTGGCATTGCACATAATTGTGAAGCCTTCACCACCACCATCTCTGGAACCTTTTCATCTTCCCAAACTGGAAGTAAATAATGTCCCATTCCTAGCTCCTTCGAGTCCCTGGCAGCCCCCACTTAATTTGGTGGCTCTGAGAATCACATGTGAGTGGACTTGTGCAGTATTTGTACTCTTGGGTCCAGCTTATTTCCTATCGCAGGATGTCTTCAGGGTCCATCCATGTTGTGGCGCATCAGAATTAACTTCCTCTTTGAGTCTGAGTAATATCCCATCGGATGGAGCACTGATGAGAAAAAATGGCCTCACCTCTGAGTTTCTCCTCTACTGTCAACACTGTTTCATCCCGCAGCATAACTGACAACAGTCGTGTGGATTTTCCATACAGCAAGCAGTTTGGTGACACTGCAGTTCAATTTTGGTGCCCTCTGCCTGGAGTTAGTGTCAGATCTGCAGACGGGGAGGGCTTAGTCCCACAAGTCCCAGGTAGTCAGCTGTGCTTTTGACCAGGTTCCCATTCCTACCTCCTTGGGCTTGGTGACTGGTCAGAACTGCTCAGACTTGGGGAAGTACTACTTAATGCTCACTGGTTCATTATGTGATGAGGGAAGTGATGCAGGGCACAGCTGATGAGCTCCCTCGGGCGGGTCTGGAAGGCCCGCAGCCTCCGTCCCCGTGTGTCGGGCTGCACCACCCACCTGGAAACTCTCCTAACCCAGTGCTACTGGGACTTTTACGGGCTTCCTCATGCAGGCATGGTCGGTGGTGAGCTCAGTCTTGGGCCCCTCGCCCTCCTCTGGAGGATGGTATGTTAAGGTGAGGTGGGGTGCCTAGTCGTGGCCGGTCTTTGGTGAGCAGCCCCCTCCGGGAGCCCAGCCGTGTCCTCACCACAGCAGACGCTCCCGTCACCCAGGACACTCCCAGGGGTTTAGGAGCTCTGTCGGGAACAGGGCCAGAGGCCACATATTAGAGCGGAAGGTGCCCCTGGTGCTCGTGTCCGTAGGACATCGCGAGGCATAGGAGCTTTGTGCCGGGAACGGAGCAGAGACCACTATATACATAGTCTGTTTCCCAGCCACATTTTGCCTATCCACTTGCCTGTGGCTGTGTAAGTAGCTGTGGCTGTTGGCCCTCTTTGGCTAGAGATGGCAGGATTTTTGTCCAGCGTCCCCCTGTGTGTTCATGCCTTTGACCTGTGTGGTTTCTTGTTTGAAGCAGTCCCTCATTGAAGACAGACATCTTCTGAGAGTCTGCTTTCTAATTTCAAATTTCTTTCAAATTTCTGATTTCTAATGCTTGCAACAAATGTGTGATGCAGTCTTCTGAATACATACTGTTTTATGGGGGGCACACTGTTTTTCCTCTGCATATAGTTTCTGTGCAGTTTTGGTATGTTAAATCCATGCATTTCTACTGTACTTTATACATGCTTATATTTTACACACATACACCTGCCCACGAGCATTTCTTGAATGCAGAGAAGATGGAAAGCGAAGCCACAGGCTGGCTCTGGGAGTGAGGACAGCTGGCCGCCGCTGTCGTAGGTGGGCGTGGAGGTGCACAATCGGCGGTGGGCCGTGTGTGGGGGGCGTGCTGCTGTGGAAGGGACACCACGAGGCCAAGCCAGCTGGGGCAGGTCGTGTTCCACATCATGAGGATGCAGACACATGCACCAGGATTCTTTCAGATGGTTATTCTGAGTTTGATTTCCCCCGTTTCTAGGCAGCTCACCCAGTGTGTATGGTGTGGGCATTTCCCCAGCACCTTCTCTAGGAGCTGGTCCTCTGGAGGGAGGAACAGCCTGTGCTTGGTGGTGATGCGCGAACTCGCGCCGGATTGTGATCTGCTCAATCTCACGTTGTCAGCGGGCATTCACATGGCCACGTGCTAAATTGGTTGCTTTTTAGTATTTTCTGCTCATTTTTGACATCAAAAAGTGACATCAAATGCAAACTGATTTTTGGATGCAGTTATTACTGTGAGAGAACAGTGATTCAGCTGCAGTCTGTGCAGGGACCGGCACAGGCGACCCGGCCTTGTTCCCTCGGTGCTGCTGGACGTGGCCTGTGCCGTGGGGCCGCTGTCTGGTGTGGAGTGGGTTTGGGAGTGCGTGTGTACACGTGCTGGAGGATTTTGGAAGCTCCCAGGGTGCAGCTGCATCAGAGGCTGGGCCTCTGCGTGCTCTTCCAGCTGCAGGTTTCTTAACAGGTGGAAGACCTGCAGCTGTGAGGCATGTGGGGACTAGCACAGCGTACAGAGGGGTCTGGGATTTTGTCTGCAGTGTGGAGTGCGTGGTCCTCCAGACTAAGGTCATGAATGTGCACTCCCCCAGACAGCTGGGGCGCCAGGTGCCCGCAGATGTTCTGGGAGCTGTCTCCTAGTGATGGTGACTAAGCACACTCGGTTTCAGGGACACGTCCTGTAGGTCAGGTCCACTGATGTGTAGTAGTTTATGGTCATTGTTGAAAGTCTTCCAGCATTAGAGATGTCCTTGTAAAAGTTCTTCCATAAAACATTTTAAGTCATACAAGTAAGTGACAACACAGCCCGCAGGGCAGAGGAGCGCGTGTGATGAAAAGCAGAGGCCTCCCGCCCCTCCTCCCCTCCGCCACAGCCTACCCCCTGCCTCCTTCCGAGCAGCACGCTCTGCTCTTGGCCTGTCCTTTAAATGTTGGTAGCCTGAAACTTTTTTCCCTGAAAAGTGTTTTTCCTTATAGTTCTCATAGGAATTTACTGTATTCTGTTAACCTTGGTGTTGTGAGGTGTGTCGTAAGTTGAAGTAAAATGAGGCAGTTGGCAAGTTATTTGCTTTCAAAATAATGATGTGAAGTGATTTGTAGATGATTCTCATGAGTCAGTCTCACTCGCATGCATGTTGGTACGTGAGCCCCACCACATGCTGTTTGTGACCTTGATGGCTGTATGCTAGGCTTCAGTGACCTTCCATTTGCAATGATTGTGTGTTCTTCCCCAAATTGCAGATTTTAAACATGGAAAAGCATTGTTTTTCTTAGTATAAAAATCTGATAGTTTTTCTTCCAGTTACATTTTTAGCTGCAGGTAAAAGATTGGGAGAGAAACTGTGTTAGTTAGAGTAGATTAGTACTTACAGCTTAGAGATAATTAATTTCCCATGGAGTTCTGTGTCCATTCTTCAGGGAGAGAATTCTTTGAATTAGTAGTAACACATTCTGTTTTCTTTATTTTCAGCCATTTGGAAAACCTTACAGTGAGGCACTGAAGATTTAGATGAATGATGGCCTAGGAGGAGGACCTGCAGTTAAAGATAGTGGATTTCATTTTGGGTTTCTTTTGCTGAGGAGATGGGGAGATGCTGAGCAGGCAGTTGGAATTAGGGACCCAAAGCTTTGGGGCTGAAGGCATTGTTTTAGGAAATATTACCTAAAGAGAGAGCTTCTGACAGGTGTGCTCTCAGTGTCGTTCTGTGTACCACAACAGTGGAACAGAACAGTGATTTTTACAGCAGGACCTTGCAGAGGACGTGTGGGGGTTGTATGAACTGAGTCCCCTGGGAAATGCTCGTCAGAATTTCTTCCTTCCTCTCCCTTCCACCAGCCTCAGTTTCATCTCTAGCCCCAGTATCCTTGGAGAACCAAATGATAGATGAAAACCCACCCCCTAGAACCAGCGATAGCCAAACAGACAAAGCCACCCCGTAGAACCAACGATAGATGCACGAGCTTCACGGACCCCGTGATTGACATCACCCATCCACCAGAGCGCCATGTCTCCAGTTAGCAGGCACCTCTTCAGCGCCTGTGCGCTGACTGAGTCTCTCCTGAGTGGATGTTGGACGGAAGCCCTGCAGCTGTCAGACCTTGGAATCCTTGCAGTGGGCCTGGCGGTGGTCATGTGACCCCAGGGTACCATTCCTAAGGCTGTCTGGTATTTTTGGTTTTGGCCCCGAATTGGTGGCCTTTGTTCTCCTTTGCCTCCTACCTTTACCAGACCCTGTTTGAGCGATCTGAATCCTTCTTGAAATACCGTCCAGACTGGGGGTCTTGACATTTTCGTGTTGTTCTGCATCTGCCCATGTTTTCTCTGATTCTGTTTGGTGCCATTTTGCTTTTGCTACACTCCTAAGCTGTATGTGTAGCTTAAAGTGTAGTGGAGTATAACCTGTTGGCTCTTCAGCCCGAGCAGGAAGAGTGGGGTGATGAATGTTTGGGCTGGGAGGGTCCCGGACTCCAGACACTGAGCGTGGGAAAGGTGTGGGTGCTGTGCTGTGTCCCCGAGGGAGGTGAGGCCTGTGGCTCAGCGTTCCCCTCTGGTCTGTGGTTTCAGGTGAGCTTGCTGCACCAGTAGCTCTGGGCTCTGTGGGTACTGGTGCATCTGGTCGTCTCTCATGTTAATCAATAAAACTATACGATGTTTTTATTTCAGAGAAGCCCGTGTCTCCCAAATCAGGAGCATTGAAGAGCCCTCCCAAAGGATTTGATACAACTGCCATTAACAAAAGCTATTACAATGTGGTGAGTAACTGTAAAACGTTTTAAGAATATCTTCTGTGAGTGTCTCTAAAACTCAGCAATGTAGAACATAGGTAAACTATGTAGAGTAGAAGAGAGATGTAAAAGTCATCTGCCACAGAGATGAAGCGCCGTCAGTGTTCTGGTAAATTTCCTTCTGATCTCTGTATAGTGTATGTGTGGAATTGTGCCTCGCCATGTCTCCAGTTAGCAGGCACCTCTTCAGCGCCTGTGCGCTGACTGAGTCTCTCCTGAGTGGATGTTGGACGGAAGCCCTGCAGCTGTCAGACCTTGGAATCCTTGCAGTGGGCCTGGCGGTGGTCATGTGACCCCAGGGTACCATTCCTAAGGCTGTGTGGTATTTTTGGTTTTGGCCCCGAATTGGTGGCCTTTGTTCTCCTTTGCCTCCTACCTTTACCAGACCCTGTTTGAGCGATCTGAATCCTTCTTGAAATACCGTCCAGACTGGGGGTCTTGACATTTTCGTGTTGTTCTGCATCTGCCCATGTTTTCTCTGATTCTGTTTGGTGCCATTTTGCTTTTGCTACACTCCTAAGCTGTATGTGTAGCTTAAAGTGTAGTGGAGTATAACCTGTTGGCTCTTCAGCCCGAGCAGGAAGAGTGGGGTGATGAATGTTTGGGCTGGGAGGGTCCCGGACTCCAGACACTGAGCGTGGGAAAGGTGTGGGTGCTGTGCTGTGTCCCCGAGGGAGGTGAGGCCTGTGGCTCAGCGTTCCCCTCTGGTCTGTGGTTTCAGGTGAGCTTGCTGCACCAGTAGCTCTGGGCTCTGTGGGTACTGGTGCATCTGGTCGTCTCTCATGTTAATCAATAAAACTATATGATGTTTTTATTTCAGAGAAGCCCGTGTCTCCCAAATCAGGAGCATTGAAGAGCCCTCCCAAAGGATTTGATACAACTGCCATTAACAAAAGCTATTACAATGTGGTGAGTAACTGTAAAACGTTTTAAGAATATCTTCTGTGAGTGTCTCTAAAACTCAGCAATGTAGAACATAGGTAAACTATGTAGAGTAGAAGAGAGATGTAAAAGTCATCTGCCACAGAGATGAAGCGCCGTCAGTGTTCTGGTAAATTTCCTTCTGATCTCTGTATAGTGTATGTGTGGAATTGTGCCCTGTTCTCGTCACATCATGTGGTATTGTGATTGTTTCCCCATACCATTGCAAGTAAGTCTCCACAATGACATTTTGAAAGGGTGCATGATGTGATTTAAAGCTTTCATGTGCTCTGCCTACCAATATGCTCACATTTGGTGTAGATGGTAAGTACTTCAGGTCAACGCCTGTTTCTAGTTTATTTTGTATCTTAACATACTCTTTCCTGGGGTTGATGTATTATGTACCAAATAGCTTGGAATTAGAGGAGAGTGTCTAGGCGTTAAACAGTAAAGATAAATGTTTTTCAGAATTCTAAAACTTGGTGCATTTTGAAACTTAACATGAGCAGTTGGTGAGCTTAAAACACTACCTGTGATATTAAATCTATTAACTAACCAACCCTTCTTTGTCCCTAAACAGTTGTATATGTGCTAAACAAAAAGAAAAATATATTCTTTCTTTGGATAAAACTTTAAATTGCTGGCATGTGTCTGTTCAGTGTGATAAACCAGCAAAGTAAACTTCCTGAACATGGATATTTTGGATTTTGTGGAAAGCATGCATTACTTCTTCTCTACTTCAGACCTTTATTTTCGTGATTAGGTATAAATCTGAGTCCATGAGACTTTGAGTTTTTCAAGTGAAATAGCAACTGATGAGTGTTTCTTTGCAGCAGCCCTTCATGAGGGTTTAATTTTCTGTGCTTTTATTAAGGAAACTTGTGACAAATTTGAGTGAGTCCGTCCCACAACACTGACTGACCACTGCGGCCTTTGCCGTGAGTCTGTGTACGTGGCTTTCTTGTGAGCGCTAGCCTTCCATTTGCCTTAAATCTCACAGAACTGCTTGGCTGCGGGGAACGTTCATTCATTTAATGGTATTTTGTAGGTGCCCAGTCTGTGCCAGGCCTTGGTGGAGGCACTGGGGGCATGGCGGAGAGTGGCAGCGGCAGGTGCTGCTCCCTCCAGCGTGTGCTCTGCTGCCACTGTGGTCAGGTGTGTCTGCTCACCTCTGGCCCCATTTGGTCTCCTCTTTTCATACGTTCACAGCTGTGCTTCTCCTCAGTCACTGGCCTGTGTGTGTGATGCCACCAAGCGGACCCACTTGTCATTTTTACTGTCCTTTTCCTACGTATCGCTCGACTCCATATCTTTCTCTTCCTGCAAGTCCTTGATTTCGCGTCTCACCCTCTACTTCAGTGACTTCTCATTCTCTTCACCAATCGCATCTGCTCCTTGGCCCTCTGACATCCGCCTAGCTCTAGACTCAGAGAGCATCGGCCTCCCGGGGCTCCTTGTGTCCCGACTTGGGGTGCCTGCCTTGCCGGGTGGTCTCTGCTCCTTGCATCCTGTTGATGCCCTTGTTTGCCAGGTGTTGGTTCTGGGATCGGGGCTGCACTAATGTATCTGCTCCTTAGTAAGTGACGGGCCATACGGACGGTCGGGTGCGTGTGGCCACAGGAAGGCAGCTTTGGCTCCTCAAGGTTTCATAGGAAAATGTAACTTCTAACTCCTGGAGCTTTTTTAAACTCTTACATTATGTGAGACACTGGTTTCTTTCCTGGGGAAGGTTTTATGTAGTGGATAATGCAGTCCAGTCCCTCTGCTAGAGGAATAAGCTGGCTCCTTCCCACTTGGAGCCGGCCGTGTTTCTCTGGTCTCCTGGGTAGCCCTACTTCCGTTGGGTGTTTTATGAAACTAGTCAATCATGCTTTCTGGAAGTCCTGGTGGGTTGCTTTCTTTTCTATTTTATGCTCTCTACCCTCTTCAGACCGAAGCATGATCGCTGCCTTTTTAGATGTTCTCCTTTAAAGGTGCTTGTGTGGGGAGAAGAGCCTTTATATCACACACGCTGTTCTCTTTGAATCAGCCATTCTCTCACTCAGAATGATGGGAAAACACCTTGACCTCAAAATCACGTCTAAATTGTTGCTTACACAAAGCTATATTAGTAAATAGTGCATGTTAAAGTGTAGTTGTTATGAACATAAATTCATAGCATTTTTAGAAATCATCTTTTGATAGAGCACTCTCATTTTACTGTGGAGAAAACAGCTCTAGAGATTACAGGGCTTGTCCAAGGTCACATACAGGTTAGTGACTAAGCCAGGGATCAGTTTTAGCTTTCCTGAGTTCCACATTTATAAATTTCATAAAGTAAAATAAGACAGAATAATACATCATGCAGAACAAAATATAATATATAATGGGTTAGGCATTTTCACACTTGTGCAGTTTCGTTCACAGAAAACTACCCAAGTGTGGGTATTTTTAACCCCACTGAGACGTAAGAAGGCTCTCCGAGAGGTAAGGCCGGTGTGGGTGATGTTACTAAAGCCAGTGACAAGGAACATGCCAGTGCCATCTTGGGATCAGTGCAGAGCAGTGAAGAGCGTGTTCTGGGTGGAGGACACACATTCTGAAATGGAGAGATGATGAGGGCATAGGCACGAGTCGGGGGATACGTATCTTCCTGCCATTGTGTGATGTTCAAGACAAACCGAAGAGCCCTGGGAGGTGAAAAGTGATTCTTAGGGGTTCGTGACTGCCAGGAACACTGATCAGCTGCCTCTCCTCTGCTTCTGGGACTCCCGTGGTTCAGGTGATGTAAGCATGTTGGGGTCCGTAGGTTTCCAAGGCGCTCTTCTGTTCAGAAGATTGAATAATCTCTGTGGATCTCTTTGCTTGCTGATTATTTCTTTTGTTAGCTTAAATGTGATGTTGAGTCCCTCCAGCAAATTTTTCACTTTTATTGCACCTTTCAATTCATAATTTCCATTTGACTGGAGTATATTTGAGTCATTGTTTGTATACTTTAATTCTTTAAGCATGGTTTCCTTTAGTATTTTTGGCATTGTTTTAAAAGACTATTATTTTAGAGCAGTGTTAGGTTGACAGTAAGATTGAGGGGGAGGTAGAGATTTCCCACGTCGGTGTCAGTGTCACTCGCCAGGATGGTACATTGTTTCCAAGGATGAAGCTACCCTGATACATCATGATCATCCGAAGCCCATAGTGTAGCCGTCACTCTTGGTGGTGGTGGTGTACGTTCTGTGGGCTTGGACGATGTGTAATGACATGTATCCATCGTTACAGTATCATACAGAATGTTCTCACCGCCCTAAAAATCCTCTTGCTCTGCCTGTTCCCCTCCCCAGCCCCCCCCCCCCCCAGCAACCACTGATCTTACACTGTCTCCGCAGATGTGTCTTTTCCAGAATGTCTTGCAGTTGGATCATATAGACTGTACACTTTTGTATTGGCTTCTTTTATTAGTAATCGGCATTTCAGGGCCCTCCACGTCATCGCATGGCTTGGTGGCTCCTTTCTTTTTAGTGCTGAACAGTGTTTCATTCAATGGTCAACACGTTAGCCATTCACCTACTAAAGGACATGTTGGTGGCTTCCAAGTTTGTGCAGTTATGAATAAAGCTGCTGTAAACATCCATGTGTAGGTTTTTGTGTAAACATGTAAGTTTTCAGCTCCTTGGGTAAGTACTAAGGGGTGCAATTGCTGGATCATATGGTGAGATATATGTTTGGTCGTGGAAATTGCCAGTTGCCTTCCCAAGTGGCTGTGCCGTTCTTCGTTCCCACCCGCAGTGAGTGAGACTTCCTGGTGCTCCACATCCTCACCAGCATTTGGTGGTGACAGTGTTTTGGGTTTTGGCCATTCTAATAGCTGTGCTGTGGGATCTCATTGTTCAGTTTGCACTTCCCTGATGTCACATATGGAGCATCTTTTCATATGTTTATTTGCCATCTGTTTTCTTTTGTAAGATGTCTGGTTATTTGGTCCATTTTTCAAGTTGGCTTTTCATTTTTTATTGTGAAGTTTCAGGAGCTCTTTGTGTATTTTGAACAACAGTCTGTTCTCTGATGCGTGA